CTTTATGTACACAGACACATACACAGAGATCACAAGAAGAAGCTGAGTACCGTTCGTTCATCTCGTTCGTTCATCTCGTTCGTTCATCTTGTTCGTTCATTGTTCGTCGTTCATCGTTCAGAAAACATTTTATCAAACTATTTTAGTAGTGTGAGTGTATGTTGCTATATTGTTTGTTATCATTTGCTGTAACTTCTCTTTTCTCACTCTTTCTGAAACATTCCCATTCTTCCTTCATTTCCTCTTTCCTTTCTAACTTTCTCTCTTCTTCTTTTATTATTTGGTTGAGAATATTCGTGATCCTCCTAATTCAGTCATACAATCACACTACAGGTTCTTCATAAAGTTAAGGTAATTCATGATCCATAAACGTTTTCCTGTGTGGAACCGGGTAGCGTGGTTCAAAGTGTGCAGCCATATGCAGAAACCTTTGTCCTTGTACAACTAAAATAGGCTGGATATCTTTCGCAATAAAGTAAGCAATAGATTCAGTTATAGATTTAGCTCATGTTGAAGAATAAGGAAGCTTAGTAACCATGTTGAAGGCTTTCTTGATAGTCGGTTGTGCAGCTGTACTGGGCCTACTGGCACTATAGCAACTATCTTGATCCGTGATTGCTACTAGTTCTACGGAGGGTACAGACCTTGTCGTGACTGCTAATGACTCTTAAAAAACCGGTAAGTGTTGAGATTTTAGATGAGAAGCCAGATATGTTGTATTTCCACAACAATTAAGAACAGATTGACAACCAGTGACAGAACAAATAACCTATTTAGGCAGGGTAAGGGAATGATTTGCTGGCCGGGAGGCAATAACTTACGTGACTATGATCTTTTATAATATCATCTTCGTGCATAAAGCCAAGGTACATCCAGACAGAGCTAGTAGCAAGCTTAGGAGGCTTTAGGTTGGCCTCTTCAAAGTATTTAACAGGAGCAGACTCGGGTGTTGCCATCATTCACTGTTTAGACATAAGAGCATGTGCTCAAAGGCGTGGTCTAGATCCATAGATCACGGGTGTTTAATCATGGCACAAAGTCAATAATTAGAACAATAATAGTTACTTACGGCACGTGATAAATTCAAATTAAAAATGTTTCCTTTTTGCAGGATGTTATATATTGTATTACTTATTCATAGTCTAATCCACACACTATTATCTATCATAACATTGTGGTTTAACACCTACTGAAGTAATATAACTGTACTGCGCATAGCTAAGGTGCGTCTTCTTGAACTGCGCATCACCTGCAACAGCTGCTCCTATTCAAACTATCTGGAGTAGGTCTTGTTCTGTGGTCTTTCATCGAAGTACAGAAGTTTCCTTTACAATAAACAAGGTATGTAAACACAGATAAGATGTTGCTCTATAATGTGATTGTTAACATAGATGCTTAGAATTTTTTATATCAAGGTTTATCTAAGTCAAAATATCAAAAATTTCACTCTAAAGTATCAACATGTCCATGAAGAAACACACTGATTTCTTGGCAAGACACTGCAGAGTCTGCTCTAAGGTACTTAGTAGAAATCAGTACAAGTGTTCCAAGAATGAGCATCTCATGAAGAGGTTGGATGTGGATACATCGAGTGATGAAGCTGAAATTCAGCCAGAGAGTTTTTGTAACAGCTGCTACCTAACAGCGAAGAGCTTGCTCTCCCGTAGTGATGCTAAAGCACATGTTACACCAGTTCAATGGTCACCACAAAGTAATATGAACTGTGAAGTCTGTGATGTGAAATGCAAAGGTGGGAGACCAAAGAAATCATCAAAAGCTGGACGACCATCATATATTAGCAAACACATCCAATCCATAGCTTTGGAGATTCCATCTTTGACTCTTCTGCAAGTTAAAGATGAGAATTATAGAAAGAAGGTTACATGTACATACTGTAGCTCTGCTGTTGACTCACCAGTTGAGATTCTACCATATAAATCTTTGTTTTGCTGTGGTTGTACTCTCTCTCTTGCTGCTACAATTCCTTCATGTAATTGCCCGGGTTGTTCTGGTCCTCATAAATCTAGTGAGTCTACTTTCACAAAGCCATTGAGCATAATAGAAAAAATGATCAAGAGCTTGATTGTTGAGTGTGATAGATGTGGGGTGGATACTAAAGTAGAGTCTCTAGCAGATGAGTGTCGATTGCACATCAAAAGTAGAAGCAAGGCGGCTACAAGAGTGATATCTGAAATGATGACTCAAACCCATACCATTACAGTACCTACAGGAGGAAGAGTAAGTAAATAAATATGATATGTATAATTATACAAGTAAATAAAAAAACATTAAAAATGGAAAAGTAGTAGGATTGAATTGGGAAAAAGTAAAGAAACAAGAGGGGACTTGCAAACTGATGGGATAAATATCCTAGACCACTGCATAAAGAATATTACCCAAAAGTATTGTAATCATCCAGACAGGCTACTACATGTACATCATAACAATGTT